TACCCCACACCACCCTACCCTACCACACACCGCACACCACCCTACCTTACCCCACACCACCCTACCCTACCACACACCACCCTACCCTACCACACACTCACACCACCCTACCCTACCCCACACCCCACACCACCTTACCCTACCCAACACCACCCTACCCTACCACACACCACCCTACCCTACCAGACACCACACACCATCCTACCCTACCCCACACCCACACCACCCTACCCTACCACACACCCCACACTACCCTACCCTACCACACACCCCACACCACCCTACCCTACCCCACACCTCACACCCCACACCACTCTACCCTACCACACACTCACACCACCCTACCCTACCCCATACCTCACACCACCTTACCCTACCCCACACCCCACATCACCCTACCCTACCACACACCACCCTACCCTACCACACACCGCACCCCATACGAGCGGTGGACGCGCCGCTTGGGGTTCGCCTAGCAGCGTGGGCGCGCGCGCTGTCAGATCAATGACGTCGTTCTGCTATACGTAGCGCTGACAACTGTAGACGCGGCTGTGTGTGTCGTGTCGTATACTAGACTGATACCCGTTCGCCATCTTCACTCCGGCAAGTATCCTTCGCTACACTGACCGCCACTGACGCCACACGCTCCGTTAGTGTAGCGTGTGGAACTGTCGACCGGGTACCAGTCTATCGTATACGTACGTACAGACGCAGCGCAGCTTCGCTGGACGTCTGGCTGCTACTCCGCGCCCTTTAGCAGCTGTAGCTGCAGCAGTGGCGGCGGCAGCGGCAGCAGCAGCAGCGGCGGCAGCGCCAGTGGGAGTGGCAACAGCAGCAACGGCAGTGGCGGCGGCAGTAGAAACGGCAATAGAGGCGGCAACGGCGGAAGCTGTAGCAGCAACAGCAGTATCACCACCTGCAGCAGCATCAACAACAGCAACAGCTATAACAACAACAACAACAACAACAACACAACAACAACAACAACAACAACAACAACAATTAACGACGACGACGACGACGACGACGACGGCGACGACGACGACGACGACGGCGACGACGACGACGGAAACAGTAGAATCATGATTACCGGCGCCACCACCACCACCACCACCACAACACTACCGCCGCCGCCGCCGCCGCCGCTGCCGCCAACAGCAGCAGCAGTAGCAGCAACAACATCAGCAGAAGTAGTAGTAGTAATAGCAGTAATAGTAGTAGTAGTAGTAGTAGTAGTAGTAGTAGTAGTAGTAGTAGTAGTAGTAGTAGTAGTAGTAGAAATAGTAGTAGTAGTAGTAGAAATAGTAGTAGTAGTAGTAGTAGTAGTAGTAGCAGTAGCAGTAGCAGTAGCAGTAGCAGCCTAACTAACTATATATATATATGTATATATATATATATATATATATATAGCTCTTGAAAATATGTTATTCACCCGATGTCATCACAAGACAGCGTGTGTTCCGTTGCCACGTGTGCATTTCGCATGTTATATGCATGTGGCTAACTCGTACACCCCTGCATGCGCCGCGTAATTAGAGCTAATAGTGTGGTAAATATGAATTCGCACGTAGCGACATCAGTTTTTTTTTCATCAAATCTCACTCGTACATAATTACATGTGATCTAATAATAATTAATACGTACAATAAATACGTGATATCAAACAACATAGGCAAACGTAGTCAAATATCAATGAAACAAGCCATGCACCGCCGAATCATTCATCGCCAACCGCTCTATACCTATATGGGCGACACCATCATATAAGCACTCACCTCGGGGTGCGTAGATCTCAACCGATACGCAGAGCACTGTGAAAGACAACTCAAGTCACAGAAGTTTGGCACGTAGCCACAAACCACGGAGCATTCAGAGCACTGCAGCCGACACCCAAATAAAAATTAACAATATGGCCGTGCATGTAGCGCCTTGCAAACAATATTGCGACCTTTCGGTGGGGTATCGTTACGGTTAGGTAGTTCGAACAGGAAAGTCGGGTAAGTAGATAAAAACTTGCTTGCGGCTGCCCTGTTCCTAGAGCCGATGTTAAGCATTTAAAATTGAGGGTGGCAACCAGGCAGGAAGTGTGCATCAAAATTCCAACCTCGTTACTACAATGGTTAATACCTCCTACCCCACACCACACACCACTCTACCCTACCCAACACCACCCTACCATACCACACACCCCACACCACCCTATCCTACCCACACCCAACACCACCCTACCCTACACCACACCCCA